TTCACTATCATAGGCGAGTCCTCGAGCTCATGAAGCAGACTGCAAATATTACATTAATCCAAGTATCTCGAGCTCATAACAGTAAAGCAGACTCTTTAGCAGAACTTGCTAAAGAAATGACGAGCATGAATGACGAGCAGGTACTAATCAGTGTCAACACACGTCGAGTACTAGAACCAGCAATTCTATGCTCCCCGCAGGAAGAGGGGTCATCAAATCCAAGTCAGAAGGATATAACTTCGGTTATTCCTCAATCTCCCCAACAAATTATTCCTGAAAATCAACAAGATAAACCTCAGATGTTCACAGGAAGAAAATTTGGTAGAACCTCTGAATCTTGGCTTGAATGCCTAGAAGTTGAAGAGCAAAATGACTGGAGCCAGCCTTTCATCTACTACTTCAGAGAAAACAAACTTCCTGTAGATAAATCATTAGCTACACAGATCAAGAAGAGAGCATTGCGATATGCGTTTGTCAATAATACGCTATATCGAAGGTCATTTGAGCAAATGTGGCTGCGATGTTTAGGGAGGAATGAAGCTGATAAAGTTATTTCTGAAGTTCATGAAGGACTATGTGGTGCACATCAATCAGGTCCTAAAATGACCATTAAAGTTAAAAGGATGGGTTATTACTGGCCATCAATGGTAAAGGACTGCACAAATCATGCAGATATATGCCACGAATGTCAAATTCATGGCAATATTATACATCAACCTCCAAATCCTTTGCATCCCACTATAGCATCCTGGCCATTCGAATGTTGGGGGACAGATATAATAGGGCCCATTGATCCACCATCATCTGCTGGGCATCGCTTTATATTAGCGGCAACAGACTATTTTTCTAAATGGGCTGAAGCAGTTCCATTCAAAGAAGTCACTGCTCACCATGTGATAAACTTCTTTACTCATAACGTTGTCTATAGATTTGGTGTACCCCGTCGCATCATCTCAGACAATGGTCCAGCTTTCAAAAGTACCAAAATTTATAAGTTCACTGAACGACATAAAATTGATTGGCGATATTCATCAATCTATAATCCAAGGGCAAATGGATTAGCAGAAGCCTTCAACAAAACGCTCATAAAACTACTCAAGAAAATCCTTACAAAAAATAAAAGAGAATGGCATACTAAGTTGGCAGAAGCATTATGGGCACATTGTACTACATACAAAACACCAACGAAAGCAACTCCTTATGCATTGGTGTTTGGAGCTGAAGCTGTGTTGCCACTCGAAGTTGAGTTGCCGTCACTTCGGGTAGCTGTTCAGTATGATCTCACAGAAGAACAAAATGCTCGCCTACGAATGGAAGAGCTTGATGCGTTGGATGAAGTCTGACTCCAGGCTCAACAAAATTTAGAGATTTATCGAGCAAGGATGGTGAAATCTTTTGACCGTATGGTACGCCCTCGAGCATTTCAAGAAGGAGAATTAGTACTAGTGCTGAGAAGACCCATTATCCCACATCGAAGGATTGGTGGTAAATTTGAACCAAATTAGGAAGGCCCTTTTGTTATTGAAAAGGTGTACCAAGGAGGAGCATATCAACTTATTGATTTAGAAGGTCGATGACCTATGCCTCCGATTAATGGGAGATACTTAAAAAAGTATCATTCTTAAGAAAAATAAGCTGAAGATTATTCTCTTATAAATAAAGAAAATATTTCTAAGATGTCTTAAAAGTTCTCCCACAAGACGGGGCATTTTTAAGTTTAAAAATGTTAAAAATCTGATGACGGATGAAATTTTCCTTCAAGGTAGGGGGCATTTTAAATATTTATTTGGGTTATCATCGAATCCCAAATAAATATTTAAAATCATTCATGAAGCTATCCCAGCATAAATATAGGGCAGAAGCTGATGCCTTCAAGCCGGCAAATATACAATCATCACAAAAATTTTTGCCAAAATCTCGAAGTTCAGATTGAGAAGAAATTTTGATCTAACAACTTCAACAAATCAAATTTGACAAGTATGAACTATCATAGTACAAGTCCAATGTTTAAACATGTATGATATCAGTCTCAACAAGCCTATATGCGACCGAGCCACTGATAGCTTTACCTACTCAACAAGCCGTTCTAAGAGGCCGTAGTAGGAAAGCGCATGTTTTGTTAGCCCGATGACAAATACTATCAAGTTTGATATTTGTCCAATTTAGCAAATCAAAGCAGTTCAGATTCAAAAAATTTTCTCAACTAACAAATGGATTGAGGCAAAATTCAGAAAAATCTCAATCAACTCAAAGGCACCAAGCCACAATAAAAAAAAAACTCCTATCAAATTTGGAAGCATTATCCTTCAATAAATCTATCAAGCACAAAGCTAAGATCGAAAGAGCTTCACTTCTTCAACATGTCCTAAAAAGCACGAAGCTTAGGACCGAAGAAGTTATCCCGCAGTTCTTATAAATCTATAAGCTGAAGAAAGGGAATATAGTCATCATCAAAGTCCGCCATGCAAAAAAGCTTTGGACAGATGATTATTTACCACCGACCTAATATTATTCTAAAGGATTTAGGTCATCAATATGGATTCTTCATCAAGCCCATGAAAGCACAAAGTTAGGGCAGAAGAAATGTTAATTCATGACAAATCTTAAAGATAAATCATGAATTTTTAAAAGACACTCTATATGAAATCTAAAATTTAGTTTTAGAGATCTGTAGGGTCAACC